GTGATCTCGCAAAAGCCCGTCTTAATTTTTTTTTCTCCCATGTCCCCTGCGGGGCTCCGTAATAATCATCATCTTAATAATTTTTTTAAAAATCCAGTAAAAAATCGTACTATTACGGCTTTTAATGGGGAAAATGTCGATTTTAATTTTAATTAATTTCAGTACTGACACAACTATAAATGTGTTTTGGGGTTTTAAAGCATTCCTTATCATTTCTGTTTGCAGAAGGCCTGTGGTTCAAAATGCTGGCCCAGTACCGGACAACTGGGACAAGACACAGATCCCTGAAACAGGATATTCGGTACTGTGAAAACCAACAAATATAAAAAATATAATTTTCCTCTGTTGGTTTAGCTCACAGTCACGTTTAGGTCATTTCTAAATGTAAACATCTTTGAGTAATTGTAATCTATTATTTCTTATTGTTTGCAGTGTAATTTTTAACAAAATGGGATGATTAGTACCAGATAGCTGAGGTCGTTTTTCACATGTTTGCAGATTTTAGGAGACAACTTTCTTTAGTACAGCTGCTGAAAACTCAATGCCTCAGTTTATTCTGATATAAGACTTTGTATTTTTAATTTTCAAAAAAGGTTACGTATTTGTACAATGAGGTGTTTGGTAATAAAAAAAACCCCAATATGGTTTCAATTGAAAAAAACATTGGCAACAATGTTTTCAAAGGAAAAGACAGTCAATGATTTCAGTATTGATAACAGATATCTGCTGTTTCTTTTTTCATTTCATTGTTTTTTTTTTTACATTAGCACAGCCTGATTATCTCTTTCTTCAGCCAGCAAAGATGCTATGTTAGCTAAATGGATTCAGCGAAAAAGCCAAATATTTCCTTCAGCACTTGGTGGAGACCAAAGCAGAGCTAAAAAAAAGTGTTGTTTAGAAGCCAAAGTAAAAAAAAAATGTTAATAATTCTTTCTGTTTCTGTGTTTGATGATGGTTTTTAAAAATTGTGATTACAGCTTGTTTTTGTTCGATGTTATTGTGACTGAACATTTTCTATATTTCATTGTTTTCTTACAGCAAATCTCGCTCCAGAGCAGCTCAAGAGAATTTAAGGAGGTTGAAGCTCTTTTCTGTAAAACCATGAGAGGCTTTGATATCGTCAACATTGACAGAATTCAGAACCAAAGTCTTTGGGAGGCCTTTCAGTTGTACGTACCGACATCCAGTTAATATCCACGCATCAGCCGCTTGTTAAATTTGGCTGACAGCTTGTGTCTACGATAGATTCTAACCAGGTCATTGTATCTGTGCAGGTAGCCATCCCTGTCTGATAAAGTGACATCATCATTTACAAAACTCATGTTGTATTAAAGTAGACTTTAAACTATTAATGGAGAAAATCAACCCAATAGGAAAATATTTAATGAAGTCATAAATGAACTGAGAAGATCTTCGTTCTTGCATTTAAATTAACTGACCACTTTTTCAGTTTTTTGCCCCCTGCTGGAGATTATAAAAAAATAGAGATTTAAGCTGCCCGCAGCGGTGTTACTTTTCAGAACCACAGGCTGGGTCCATCTTTTATTCAATGTCTACTATTAGCATACAGACTTTCTGACTTTTTCTCTACTTTTTCTTTATATCCTTGCCTGGATCTAGACCAGGGGTGGGCAATTCCAGGCCTCGAGGGCCGGTGTCCTGCAGGTTTTAGATCTCACCTTGGGTCAACACACCTGAATCACATGATTAGTTCGTTACCAGGCCTCTGGAGAACTTCAGGACATGTCAAGGAGCTAATTTAGCCATTTAAATCAGCTGTGTTGGTTCAAAAAACCTAAAACCTGCAGGGACACCGGCCCTCGAGGCCTGGAGTTGCCCATCCCTGATCTAGACCCTTACCCCAGTGTTACCTTGGAGATCTACAAAGACTTCCCAAAATTTCATGGCTTGTTTTCTTCCAGATATAATGGTGACCTATGGGGACATTATATGTAGTAAAATATACTGTGGAGGAGAACACAACCATGAGAACAAAGGGCAACTCAGACCACAAAGACACAGACTAAGACGTGAACTTGACACAGTGACGGGAACATGGAGACGTGACTGACTGGGGAGACAGGACAGGGTCATAAAAGATGATGACTAAAGATTACATAACCTAATGACGAGCACAGAAGCAATGGGAAACAATAATATATTGAAAGGAGTGAATACAGAGCTAGAACGTAAACTGCGGCTCAACATCCAAAAGAACAAATCATGAGCTCACAGAAAACTCAAAACATAAAAAGGCTCAAAGACACAAGACCATGATTCACACTCTTACAGCTTGGCTTAATTTGTTTCCTGTCTCCTTTTTCAAGGCAGAAGAATCAGATGAGGACCAAAAACCAAGGGAGAGATGTGCCTGAACTGAGGCTTTTTCATGGCATCGACTCCAAATCTGTAAACACCATCTGCCATAACAACTTCGACTGCAGAACTCATGGGATGGCTTATGGCAAAGGTGAGTGGAAGAAATGTTCGTGCTGAAATAGTTATTGGTTATTCAAAAGCAAAGACTCTCATCTTTGTGACACCGTGAGTCCTGTGAAGTTATTCTTATGGAAAACATTGATTTTTCACCTTGTAATCACCTCTGCATGTTTACCAGAAATACATTTTTTCACAATTGTACCTTTTGGTGTCTAAACACAGGTAGTTACTTTGCCCGCGATGCCAAATACTCCCACG